AGCTCTTTATTTGCTTTCCGCAAGGTTAGCAAAAGTAACTTCCTCACCCCCTCCAAGCCTCTGAAAATGCTACATGGAGGATTTGGTGAAACCTGAGTGGCATGTACTGTTGTGCAAGTGAGGGGGGAGCCCCCCCAAACCAGATGAGGATACTTTCCATGAGTCCGTCCACGGAAGGCAGGTCCTTGATCTAGTCCCATATCTGCTGCAGCAAGACTTAAGTACCAGGAGTTAATATTTGGACTCTGCTTGCCATCCCCTTGATCTGCAACTAAGAGTAATGTTATTAATTGTAACTTAAGGTACAAAACTACTTATCCGAGGAGCACTGTATAGAAGAAGAGAGGAGGAGGAGGAGGAGGAGGAGGAGGGAGAAAGAGAATAAAAAAATGACAGTGTTGGAGCCTTCCCTTTTTAATGATGCTGTTGCTGCGCGTGTGACATTCAAGTGGCTCCTCCAATTAGCTGTGCTTCGATTTGTTTCATTATGTAAGTAGCAATATGGTACCATCAAAGATGAATTATGTTTCCTTCCTGGAATGGAAGCCGCAAATGTTTATCCTATTCACATTATCTCTTGAATGTAAACAGTGAGTGGTCTTGGGAAAATGTTGGCCTTTAATGGTCACAGCAGAATTTTACATAGTCTGGGAACAAATTGGATGCCAATCCATCTGTGTCAAGATGACAGTGAGTCAGGGATGCATTCTGTGACTAGGATATTTAAGATGCAGTCCTGTGTGTATTTAGGCAGGAAAAAAGCTATAGGACTTTATCCTATCTGTGTATAGCACTATGCCCTTAAACTTGAATTTCCAGAACTTTTTATGTACTTTATAAGTGCTGTTACTACTTTTTGGCCTGATATGCGTGGCATTTACACAATCAGGCAGGAAATCTGAGAGGAAATCTTCTGGTACTGCTATGCTTCTTTTTATCAAGATCATGCTATAATTAACAGCATCTTGTGCTCTATGTAGGAAGAGCTTCTGGAACTCTCATACCATGTATCAGCATGTAATGCAGGGACATTGGAGAAAGTCCTTGAAAGAGTAAAAATGGTGGAGTATAGTAGAAAAAACACCAGCAGTCCTTGTGCAGGGCTGATACCAACCTCCCAGCCTCTTTCAAACAGTGACTCAGACAACCCCAGAACCTGCATGTGCTGAAAGCAACCGGCCTGTAACTCTGTTGTGGGTGCTCCTTGCATCAAAATAACCAACCCAGAGATGCCAAGGCGGGGGAAGACAACTTGATGAAGGCTTCCAGTTCTGGGCGGCTTCCATAAGCCCCAGCCAGCAAGGCCAAGGGTCAAAGTTAAGGAAGTGTACTCCAAAACATAATTTATTATTTAAATTGAGGAAAGTTTAATATTGCATGTGAATGGTGGCATGCAACACTAGTGTATTTGCGCAATTTTGCTATACCACAGCATCAACTAGGGCTGAGTAATGGAAAGGCAGAGAAAAGTTAGGCCCTGAAAAAGGGGAAGTGTGAAGGAGCAGGTGTCGCCCCAGTCAGGTGGCAGGTGGCACAGCCTAAAGGGCTCAAACAAAGGCTTAGATGGCTTTAAAAGGGGGATCAGATCAGGTATAGGCAGATTTTATGCCTGCAAGAAAGCTTCCCCCCTCTTTTCTTTGCTGCAGCCCCCAAATCCATTAATTGGTTCTTGCTGCAAAAGGCGCACTCAAAATAAATTCTGTGCTCAAAATCCTTGAATTCTGAGCACCGGAAATGAGGTTATCATCCTTCCACGCAGACAAATTCCTGGCTACCCGCAAGCTTTTGTTAGAGCGTGTGCAGGGATCATAATGGCACTGCTGTAGTTATTGTGAATTTGAAAGTCTTGTCCATCTACTGCAATTCATATGAAGATCTAGCTGTAGAATCAGATTGACCTTCTGCTGGCCCCTGAGTTTGACCAAAGGATAGATGGTTATTAACTATGTGTTAGATCCAGATTTAAACTGAATCAGTTGAGCTGGTAGAAGTGGACTTCCCCTCTCTCACAGTGGTCCACATTATGCCTCCAACTTGCCTCACAGAGAAACTTTGGAGATGCTGCTGAACGGTATGAGACACAGAGGGGGCAGAGGGGTGTGTGTGTGTGTGTCTTTGTGTGTGGTACTAAAATAAGAGTCTTACAATGTCTAGGTTTAGATGATATATTAATCTACCCCAACAGTTTTTGAAATATGGAGTATCGTGTTGCCTGAACCAAGCTGTATTAACAAGCCATAGCTTCTTAACCGTCTTCAGCCCATGAAGAGAACCCACGATTTCTTGTTGGGTTGTGAACTATGGGGTGTTCACCATGCTTTGTTCTCTTGGCTGGGTTCCTACAACACACTGACCAATGGGTAACATAATTCCACCTACGCTGAACTCTCCAGTGTGGGGTATCTCTATTGTCTGAACCTAGTAACCGGCTCTCCTTTTGCAGGGTCAGGCAGAGTGTTGTGGAGGGGGATCCCTGTAGGCTGGGGGACCCTCGAGGCCAAGAATAAATGGGTGTGGATTGCGGGGCCTGCAGAAGAGCTGGACCAAAACGAATGGCCTGCCCATTCTTTGATTACTTGCACTAAGGGCGTTGACACATCATAACTCATAAAAGAAGGCAATGGTTGCTTTCCTGAAAGTGATCCATGCTCTAGTGTCACCCGGCCAGGAGGAAGCACCAGCTCCCCCTCTCCCTCCTATGCTCCCCTTCCTGATTAAACTTACCAGCATTTTTGTCACATTTGTGGTCTTTAACGAAAAGCAGAGCTCAGAGCTGGGAGGCAGGGAGAAGCCACAACTGGAGGCAAGCCTCTCACTGTCATGGAATGACATAGTGGAGACTTGGACAATAATTACATTTTTCCCCATAGTGGTTGTGTAACCTGTTAACTATTTGTCTGAGTTTTGCCCTGGGTGGGAGCAGGGAAGGAGAGAGAAGGGGGACACATGGGAAGAAGAAAAGAGCAGTGGATTATGGGTGGGAATGGGGTGCAGGTAATGGAGAGTTCTCTGGAAAGACTGGGCTATCTTTCTTGTGGAGGAGGGGGAAGACACAAGAACTGCCTCCCCCGCCACCTGTTGCTGTTTATATTTGTATCTTGCCATTTTCCTTTCAAGGAAATCAGGGTGGCTTACAGAACCTTCCTCCTCTCAGTCTTACTCTCACAACAACCCTCTGAGGTAGGATAGGCTGAGGGTCAGTGGCTGGCCCAAAGTCATCCAGTGAGCTTTGTAGCTGAGTGGGGACTAGAACTGGGATCCGCTGGGTTTCCTGCACAAGGCATTTCTGTGTGAGTGTGTGTGCATGCACAGACAGGCCCTGGGGGAATGATGATGATGATGTGGGAAGGCAGTGCAAACTTTCATTAAGGAGGGCTTACGAGTGTGCACGAAAAGCCTTGTGTAGATAAGCCCTGGGTTAGTTCTGCTTGCAACTTCCTGTGTCTTGCACTTTCTAGTCCTTCCCTTCTTACACAGATCCTCGGCTGATGGCTGAGCTCTGAATATCACAGTAAGAACAGCAGCAGTGCCTGTCACATCTGGGAGGGGTAGCAGCATCCTTCAGCCCCTCTCTTCTTGATGCAAACTTTATGGAGTTGATGGAGTGCTCGTCTGTGAAGGGGCAACGGACGGGCGTGGCATCACCACCTGTATAGCTGATCCTCTGTGAAGTACGCACCATGCCAGATGCTGCCCGCGAATCGGTAGGGTGCATTCACTGGGGTGTGGTAAAAGAAGCACCCACCAACTCTCGACTGTAACTCCATCTGGACACACCTCCCAGGGTGTGTAAGGAAGGGGAGCTGCACAGGCAGTGTATTTGTATGTCTTTGATTATACAAATGATAGTATAATCAAGCTTTTCTAGTATTATAATATTGAAAACCTAAAAATATTAAATTGGAGTAAAAAGCATCGGTTAAAAAAACCAAATGTAACCCATTTTAGAAACCTATTTGCATATCAAATAGTTCCAAGTTCATCCAATCAGAGAAACAGGTTGAATTTCATAACAATGGGAGACCATTGAGGGATCTAAATTTATTCATTCTTAAAGTAAATCCACTGAAATCATAAATAACTTCAGTTTCTTTGATTTCAAAGAGTTTAAGGGTGCAACGCTGTGGCTGGTAGATGCTGCCCCACCCCCATGATCCCCAAGGTCACGGCAGGGACTCCAAATTCAGAAGGCCCCCTGCCCTTGCAGCTGGCACAGTTCTTTGGAGCAGGAGCTTGAGATGGGTTCAGAGAGGAGGGGAAGGGGGCAGGGGGAGAACCACTTCTATGAAGAATCCAGGCAGTTCCTCCACCCCCCCTTCCTTTTGAGTAGGGGATAAAGCATTTAAGGGCAATCTTACCATCCCTGCCCTGGATGGTAGGTAAGTCTCCAGACACGGAAAGCCTGCCTCCATCCCATTCCCCGCGGCAGTGATCTCTCACTGGGACTCTGATTTTTATCCAGATGGCCATTTCTGGACAGCTAGATAAAAAGGTAAGGGAGGGAGGAGCACACCCCTACTTCTCCCTCCCAAGGTGCATTTGCAATTGCAGGGAGGAAGCCAGTGTGGGAGCAGGACAGGGTTTTGGCTTCAGAGTCCCAGATCCAAGATGGCAGGATCTTGGAGGTGGGACTCCAAATAATCCTCTGCTACAACGACAATGTGAGGAGGCCATACCATCGCACTGGAAGATGACTGAAATCAGCCATCAAAACATTTCGGGGGGGGGGGGGATGGAATCAGGCTTAACTTTCAAACACCCCCATCCCCACCCCCGTTCGACTGGATGACCATAACCTGAGTTCAGAGGTTCACAGGCAGCAGTGCAGAATGGTGCCTTAGTTGTGATTAAATCTACATTTAACCAATTGTTTTCAACTTCTCCCTTCAGAACTAGCTGTTTGCACTATACATATTCCCAAGTTGCTATCTTCTAATACATGATCACAGCATATCTTCCTCCGTGGAAAATTAGGTTCTTTAAATGAGGCTTCAAAACACTGTAGCTGAAAGATAATCTGGAATTTTCTGAGGTGGTTACAAAAGAACTCAAAACAATTGCCCAGTGAATTTCTTCCCAAGTTCCAAAGAAAGCCACATAAAATAAGATCAGTCACATAAAGGGATCCACAGTGGTAGTGGCTTAGAGTGGGATGTGGGATGGAAGGCCCCAGTCTGTTGGAACCTCAGCTTTCTGGGTTCCCTAATTCCTTTGCCTAGCCCTGGTGTGTTTTTCCCCAGCCAGTTTTCTTCTTTTCAAAGCTCCAGTGGACAAAAAGAAGCATTTTCTGGAGACAACATGGGATGGGAAAGTGTTCAGTGTTTTCCTGGGTAGCCACATTGCATTTTAAATAGCCTCTCCTTGCTTTCTAGCAAATTGGTGTGACCAGCACAGAAGTATAAGTTTGGCTGCTGCAGTGAACAGAGAAGTGTTGAACCTCTGGTTCACAAGTCAAATCTGCCCTGGTGGGAGCCCGAACTTGGCCAACTGGACTTAACCAGATGGCCACCCCTCTCCCCTGGAGCACTCCTCATTTGCTAGCTTCCCATCCTTTGCATGCTATTTTCCCCATGATAAAGGCTGAAAAGTTTCTGCTAAGTGAGTTTTAGAGAAACTAGTATTAACGATTACGTTTCAAGAGATCAAAGTTTTTCAGGCCATTGTTCTATACCCCTCATTGTTTTCCATAGCACTTCTTTAAACCTCTTCCAGTTCCAGCTTTTCCAAAGCACGTCTGAGATAGCAGGGCCTGAACAGTGTTTGCCCCGCCAAAGCCTTTTCTGAATAGTTTGCAGCATTTTAGTATTCAGTGACTGGCCCTGCAGATTGCTGACTTCAGAGGCAAGCAGTCTTGTGTGTCGTCGTCTTTGGCCTGCAGTGCTTTTTAATCTGCATTTTCTGCTTGGTTTCTGAAATGCTTCTCCTGTGGTTGAATTACTGGCAGTAGGAGCTTGAAGCTAAAATAGGCTGGAATGTTGGCTTGCACCCCTTTTGCTTCCAGCCCTGCCCCTCACTAGAAAGTGGTCCCTCAGAGACCCATGGATGTATTGGAAGGAAACATGTTATTGGCATCATGCTCCCTTTCAAAGGTCTGCATTAAACTGCTGGCTCTTAGCTTTGGATGGTGTCTTTACTGACTGCTGGGGCTGATTTGATGACACCATGCTAGGAAGGCTTCAGGTTGGGACCCCATTTAGGTCAACGTCTGTGGTGCAAAGATTTCCATGCGGCAGATTAGCCTTTGGGTCCGCTTGATCTTCCTTGCACCCCTGCCCTTTGCAGCAGCTCTGCCAGGCTTTGGATGCCATGTCCCTCCAAAATAGTGTGTACTGGGAGCTGATGCAACTGAGGATGATGGGCACTGCAGCTGCGCTGCCAGTGCCTATGCAGGTAACGATAGTGAGAACAGGGGGACTGATGCTGTGGTCTATAGATACTAGTGAAATGTTCAAGCAAACCATGTATGGCACCCAGCAGGCCAGGAAGATGAGGGACATGCTGGCAATGCTTTTCGCGTTCCTCAGTTCCAGCCGCTGCTCCAGTTCTGAGGGGGCCTGGCCTTGATTCACAGAATGAAGGAGTTTTGTGATGTTGTTCAGCTGCCTCCGGGCGACACAGAGCATCTGGGTGCACATGAAGGCCATGGCAAGGATGGCGGGGATGAGGAACCCATAGGTCTCTATGTAGAGGTAAGGCTTAGGAAGGACTACGCTGTAGGAGCAGTTGACTGTGGAGCCCCACGTGTACCAGGTCAGTGGGAGGGAAGCAAAGATCAGGGGTGTGGTCCAAGCTAGGAAAATGTAGAGGGCAGGCCAGCGATGCACCCAGGCCTGACGGTAGTGCAGCGGGCGGACGATGCACGCGTACTTGGCATAGTGCATCACCAGCAGGTTGGCTAAGAAGGACAGGAAAAGGAAGTTGGGCACCACATATTTGAAGAAGCAAAGGTGCTTGCTTAGCTCCTTGTGAAGGGTCAGCTCAGGAATAAACGGCAGGGCTGCTCCAGCCAGAAGATCGGCAAACAGGAGGCTCAGAAAGAACCAGCTGGTGGTACCATGGAGCTTGCGGTTGAAGAGGATCCCAAGGATGATGAAGATGTTGGCCAAAATGATGAAGACTGAGAGAGGATGAGTGAGCCAGAATATGAGGTGCTCCTGCTCAATCTTGTTCTTTGCTTGTGGATTTGGTGAGGATTCTTCCATCCTTTGAGGCTTCTGCTCAGGGCTTCCTAAAGGAAACGCACCAATACTTTGGTTTATTGCTCAACAAAACTATTGATTCAGCAGTTACATTCCTGTGGCTGCTGCTGCTGATATAAAGATTTCACTGACATTTGTTGAATTTAATAGTTATTGACCTTGATGCCTAAGAATCACTCTAACTGAAGAAACCAGAGTATTCACAATAGGGCTGAACAATTAACTACAACACATCTTATTATATATTGCAGAATGATATAAGATCTATAAAATATCCCATCGTCAGTAGAATAAATGTCAAAGTGATGAATGATTATACCTCATAAATTAAAATGTACTCCATAAATAAAGGGGTTGCATCCAAATATGTTTTTCCACTCATGGAAACAGTTCCATTGGTAAAACCGGGAGGAAATGATTTTACCTGCAGCAATCTGCATGCCCACAAAACCGCCTCTTGAGGCCTGGGAAAGCCTTTATAGCAGATTTTTGAGTGGTGGGGAAGGGAGTGGAAGAACCGGACTGGTTGCAGCCAACCTGCATAGGTACAGATATAAAAGAAAGTAGGCTTGTGCGAGAGCCAGTTCTCCAAGCATGAGGAGTCCCAGCAATGAAGTGCCTCAGCCCCAGTGGCAAAGTCTCAGCATGCAAGTGAGTTAAGCAACCAGGTGAGTTTGGCCATGGACCGAGGAGACCTGCCTTTTCCTTGTCAGAAGCTGTAAACTGGAAGGTAACAACTAAATGCAAATCCATGATCCTCTTCCAGTAAAGGAGGGAAATAAAATACTCCCCCACACTAGATTTTCAGTTAATACCAATCAAATATCAAACCAAGTGATGAAGGTGGAGCGGTGGCAGGGGTGTGGGGGCTACCCAGGGTCCTGCACTCAGTGCCACACGTAGGGCTAGCTGCCAACTGGACAAACGTCCTGGGTGTGCACTCGGTGTAATGAGCTCCTGGCTGTCAGGGGACAAGTTCACTTCCTTCAAGACAAGGTTGCTGACCTGGAGGGGCAGAGAGGTTGGTGGATGAGACCTTCAGAAACCAAATAGCAGGCTGCTAGGTGGCTGAAGAATCTGGTCTGGGGATGAGAGTCTATCAGATTTGCTTGTCTTGGCTGCATGCACTGCCGCTCTCTCTCTCGTTGCCCTAAGGCTACCCTGTGCCAGGGGTTTGCTTGGCATCTGGTGGGGAGGAGCCCATAGAAGTGCACGGGAGCAGCTTGTACACAATGCTGCCCATGCACCCGCAGTGCAGAGTTCTTCTGCATAGGCAATTTCAGGTTTGAGTACTTTGTGCAAAGAATTGCATACTTTGTATATTTTGAGCAGAAAACCTGCTACTATCTCTGGGCATTTGCAGACTTGATCTTGGCCTGCCTTGCTTCCTAGACGGGGCTGAGCATGGGAAACAAGTCCAGCCGGCACAATAGAGCCAGGTTTTAGCCTGATCTTCACATGCCTAGTCTCATTTCCTCTGATGTCGTGGAAAACAGAGGTCTCAGGGAAGCCAGGTATCATTCTGGGAAGAGGGAAGTGATGCTTGAGAAGAGACCCATTTTCCAGAAGAGGAACAAATATCCTCAGTCACTGAGGATGTGCTGTTGGGAGGTGGGGGGTTTCTGGTAGTGGGAGACTTGATTGTTAGACATATATATAACTGGGTTTGCAATGGGTGTGTAGACTGCAAGGTAAATTGCTTGCTTGGTGCCAATGTGATGGATGTCTCAATAGTCTTGTAGATAGTATGGGGTGGAGTCAGTGGTTGTGGTCCATGTTGGTACCAGTGGTATGAGGAAATGTCATTGCGAGGTGTTGGAAGCCACAGATAGGTTGCTAGGTAGAAGGTCGAGATCCTGGATCACCAAGGTGGCTTTCTGCAATGCTACCGGTTCCATGCACAGGGCCAGCTAGAATGGCACAGCTGGGTAGTGTCGCTGTGTGGATGAGAGGATGGTATAGGCAGGTGGGGTTCAGGTTTGGCAGGCACTGGGAACATTTTGGGACAAGCTGGGCCCACACGGGAAGAGCAGCTAACATTTGAACCGACATGGAACCCATCTGCTGGTTTATAACCTAAAAGGTGTCAGAGCAGCTTTTAAACCACCCCAGGAGAAAGCCAGCAGGAGCTAGGCATCTTGTTGGGGTTAAAGCATCCCTAGGGAATGAAGAGGAAAAAGTTTCTGATTGCCCAAGTGTAGGAGGCCAAGAAATAAGCCACCAACTTATGGCAAGGCATGAGAGCAAGTGAGAGAGGAGTAAGTGCCAAAACGTAAGTTGTGCATGTCTGGAGAAGGATGAACATGCCAGATGTCTCAGGGCCAAAACAGGAGAGCTGGACTGCCTGGTTAGAAAGGAGATGCTAGATATAGTGGGCATTATGGAAACCTGATAGAATGGAGCAAACCCATGTGATATGGTCATCTCTGGATATAACTGTAGAGGAAGAAGAGGAAAGGGTGTACTGAAGGATGTGCTGCTCTGTATGTCAAAGAGGGCACAGAAGTCCAGTAGACGTGATCATCTAAAATGCTCAGAGTCTTCATGGGTGATGATATCTTGCTTCAAAACGAATGTAGTCATAGGAATACACTATTGTCCTCCACATCCAGAAAGCTCAGGGTGATCTTGAGATGGAGACCAAAGTCAAGGAGGCCTCATTCAAATGCAGTGATGTAATAAGGGGTGTCTCATTCATAGAATTAACCACACATTGATTGGATAAGTGTATGCTCCATGTCTGAAAGGCAGGTTAAATTTCTGGATGCTCTTGAACTGTTGGTCATAGTAACAATCAGAGGGGAGGCAAGCTTGGGTTTAATTCTAGGTGGGATTACACAGGAATGTAAACATTGCTGAACCAGTTGAAAAAGTGACAACAGCACTCTTAGATTTAGCAATCTAGATTTAGGTGGAAGATTGCTAAAGAGGTCTAACACAGTTTCATTTAACTTCAAAAGAGGAAACTTCTCAAAATTGAGGGGACCCGTAAAAAAGAAATTGAAGAGAGGAGGCAAGAAGGTTAAATCCCTTCAAAGCGCTTGGAGGCTACTCAAAACCATTAGAGGCACAGATAGTGTGCATGTCACAGGTTAAGAAGTCCAAGAGGTCACCAGCATAGTTAACAAGCAGAGTCAAGGAAGCTCTTAGGGAGAAGGGTTTCTTCCAGAAATGGAAGGCTTGCTGACAATTTTGGGCAAGTTCATAACTTGGGAACTAGATTTTCAAGTATTCTGGTCCCAGGTCATTTAGGGGAAGGTTTGGGAACCTGTGGACCTCTTGAAGTCAGCTACCAACTCTTGCCATCCTCACTAGGGATGATGGTAAGTGTAGTCAACAATATCTGCAGGGCTACAGGCTCCCCATGTTTTATTTTGGGCCTTATACATCAAAACAAGCCTCTTGAACTGCGTTCAGAAACAACTTGGAATTGTGTCCAAACCAATGTCATTTCAAAATCCTTCTGGATGTGACACTTTGGGATGGGCAGCCAAGTAAGAAGACGACTGTATACACTTTATAGTCTGATTCTGCATGCATGTGGAATCTGAGTAAACTTTTCAAAGAGGCCAAAGTACTGTATTAATCCTTATCTGACTTGGTCTTTCCTGTGTAATCTTGGGAAACAAATAAGATTCAGTGACTTCATTCACTGCACCCTTCCGATCTTTTGAGGTTCAGTATGAACACCACGGCTCCTTTGACCTCCTCCCACATGTCCTACTGCCGCCAAGTGACTTTTTCAGGGTGCAGGGGGCACATACCCTATTGAGAAATGCAGAAGATGTCTAGAGAAGATTGGGGATTTCCACAGGCTAACACTTTATTGTCTTAGGAAATGAAAACCTTTCTCGACTCTGAGATAAAATGTTTGTCATGCCATTGCCCTGTCTTCATGGAATTTGACAGGGCATCCTGACAGGCTCTGTTTCTCAGGAACCTCTTGTGTTTCCCCACCCAAAAGAAAACCCACGAAGGAGGGGGAACTGCTCGAAGGGTTTGTATGGGAAGATACAATAGATACTGGGAATGCTGAGTCTCAGAACTGGCAATAGGTGGATGATGATGATGATGATGATGATACCAGGAGGTGGGGAATGTTAGTGAAGTATTGGAGAACGGAGTTCTGCACATCAGGGGGCCCTCCCTGCATCAGTGATAGTCAGCTTCTTGGGATCCTCCTTGGAACCCTCTGAGCAGCAGGCCCCTGCACCCTGCCCTCACCAGGGCCTGTGCCTTCTTCCCCACAACTGCCCTGCTGCAGCTGCAATTGGGTGGTGTGTGGGCAACAAAACAGTGACACTTTTTCTTCCTCTCATGGTAATGTTAGTGGCTGCAAAGATGGCCAAGGGGCTTCGAAGTTGCCTGCCCCTGCCCAAAGCCATCCTGCTGCCCTGAGGACACTGACCACTCATCCATATTTAAGAAACACAGTTCAGGTGCACGAAATTGGGCAGGCAGGGGTGAGATGAATGGGTGAGTAGCCTTCTGCTCTGAGCTGGGCCTGAGAAGTAGCCACTCCGAGCCACCCATTAGCAAACAGTCAGAGCGGTGCAGCAGTGACTCGGCTGATGGGCAGCAGCTGCTGGAAAACAACCAAGAAGGAAGTCCATCCTGAAGTTGCGAGGAGGGGGGAGGCATGTGCCCAGCCTCAGCAGAGCCTGCAGCTACTCTACAGAGAAGAGCTGCTAAAACAGGCAGGAATGTTATTTTAATACACTCATAAAGAAGAGGCATCAAGCGCTTAGAAAGAGTCTCTTGCCATCTGGCTGTGTGTAACAGGGGTCAATTAAGCTATCTTAGTGGCATAATTGCCAGCAGAAGCCATCCCTATTGGAAGGGGCCCTCAGCCTTCCCTAAGAGGCAGAAAACAAAATGGAAGACAGGAGGGAACATTGACAGAAGGGCTTCTCGGCCAATCAGTGTGAGGAAAGGCAAAGGAGATCTTTCCTTCTGGGAAAGTCTGTGTGCAAGGTCGAACCTCTCCTTAAAACAGCAGTTTTCCTGACTTCTAATTGCTGGGGGCATTTGCTTTTTCTGAATGGAAAACTTAAGCCAGATTCACCTTTACATTCTCATTTCTATTTTTTATTTTTTTTAGAAATCAGTGACTGTATCTGGAAAAAACAAACAAACCCAGAATACATTGATGGCAAAGTGCACTTCCTGAGGATGTCAGTTTTATCTCCAGTGTTAGAGTTAGCTTTTGGTGGGAGGTGAGCAGTGCTGCCTAAAGGAGCACTCCTCCTGCTTCCATTCAAATGGACCTGTGTAACTATTTCCTTAACAGTTTTTCCCCAGTACCAAATAAAATAAAATAAGGATGAAATGGCAAGAAAGCATGAGAGTAGAAGTCAGTGTCTGGACCTTCAACAAGGCAAGGAGATGACATGATAAATGCCTCATTTGGAAAAACCTTCTAAAACTCCTCAGGAGAAAGCACAAAGGGAGACCTTGCTGGAGAATCCAGTTCTGCAGTCTCAGCCATTTCAGGGCAATGTTTCAAAAGAAAAATGATTTGCTTAGAAAGGCAAAGGAGATTTTGCTTGTTTGCTTAGGATATTGTTCAGTGAAACATTTGAAGGTCTTGCACAACTAGGGCCAGCAGCAAGGGGAGGCATCTTTGGAAACCTGCCGAGCATCCACACCCAGGTAGCAGCCCACTGATGCTTCCCGGGAGTTGCTCTCATTCTTCAGCTGCAACCTGCCCGTTCACCTGCCCTGCTCTCTGTCGGGTCCTGGCAGTGGTCGTGGTGAGGAGGAGCAGCAGGGGGTGCCCCTGCTGCCTTGTGCACTGGCTCTCTGCCTGTCGAGGTGGCAAGTGGAAGCCGTGATGAGAAGCGGATGAGGTGCTGTAGCACTCGATGGGCATGCTACGATAGGTCCTCTGGGTAACCCCCCCCCCCAACAAACCACAGAGCCAGCACTTTTGCAGAATTTCTTCTGGAGGCTTAAAAATAGGGGGTGGGACACCAAGGGAGAAAGAGAGAGAGAGGAGTGATGTTTCAGTAAAGGCACCAGACATTCATCAGCGTTGTGCACAATTCGCTACGTCACAGATGACTGTTATATGAGGGCAGTTTCATTTCTAGGGAAGTGTGAGTGTCTGGTCTTTCTGGTACTCTGGGAATGGAAATGTGTCTGGGTCTATGGAACTCCCGGTTCTGTGAATAATAATTGGTATATCTGGTGAGACGGGCAGGATGCTTCAGTGCCATTTCCACACGCACCCTCACCCAGCATCTGAGATCAGTGGAAAACCTGTATTTCTGAATTGTTGAACTATCTGTGTAGTTAGATATTTCCTGTAGTGAGCAGTCAGATGCTTCATTTGTTCTTAGCACAGGAAAAAACATTTTCAAAATTGCTGTGACTGTGATGGTGGGTGAGAGTGTTCTTAAACATAATAAATATATGGACAAGCAGTGCAAACATTTGCGTGCCTACTCAGAAGTAATGCCAATGAATTCTGTGGAAATTACTTCTGGGTAAGTATTTATGGGACCAGAGCCTTCCCTATGCAGAGCCTCAAAACCCCAGACCCAAGACATGGGGGGGGGGGCTGCCCACAAAGCCCTGTGGAACCTGCTCCAGGGGCATTCTAGGGCAGGATGCCACAACAGCCACCCTGAACAACCCTTGGCGTCTTTGGTTGCTAAAAGGGAAAGAAGCCAATGATTAAATGTAATGCAATCCTCTCTCTGCTTCTGTGAGAGTAACCCCCACTGAACTCAATGGAAACTCCTCCGAGCAGGTGTAGAAAAGATGGTGCTGTTGCCTCTCTCTGGGAGAGGTTTATGAAAGGCTTTGCCCCATGCTTGTCTGACTGGATGCAGGTGACTAATACAGCGCCCTTCCCCTCTTCCCAACTGATACTAAAGACCCAAGAACCAGACAGGCATTGACTAACCTTGGGTGAGTTAATCCGCTTCCCGCAGGAAGGGCTCCCGTGGACACCATCCAGCAGTGTCGCTTCCCCTGCAACAAGGGCCGGCCCATCTTCAACCGCTGTGGGCAGGCATTCCAGCTGCGTGCATCCTCCCAGGAGCAACAGGAGTGCCCCTGCTGAGCAGCTGGAAGAGTCTTGAGGCTGTTGTCAAACACAGTGCGAGCTGCTCCCCGCCTTCAGCGGTCCAGGCCGGTCCCGGTCCCGGTCCCGCCCCTGCAGAGCGGCTGCCAAGTCCAGCCCCGCTGAGCTCCGATTCCTCGGGGGCTCCGCTGCCGCCTAGTGGCCTTGCGCTGCGCCAGAAAGGGCCGCGCTGCCCGGGGCCGAGGCGCCTGGGGAATTGAAAGCACCTCTGTCCTCACGGCAGGATGGGAGCTAGCGGCAGAGAAGGAGCTGCATTAGTCTGTTGCAGCCAAAGTAATGGAGTCCCAGAGCCTCCAGGTAATCAACATTTGTGTATCTAAACATTTATTCTGGCACACGTTTTGTGGACGGCTCATCAGGTGCATAAAGCACTAATCCGGATAGGCAGAGCTCTGTACTTCTATTGCGTGTGGGTGGGAGATGTCAACTGTGTTGCCAGGGGGACTGCCTCACAAATCAGACCTTGACAATTACCTCAGTTGGTGGGATTCACCAAAGATTTCAGTGGTGAGCTGATTAACATATGCAGCTGCTGATTAAGACAACATAATTTCATTTTTATCCAAACCACAAGAGATTGACCTGAGACTCATAATGAATTGTAGTTTACTTTGGTGTCGGTCTTTTAATTCCTTTATTCAAGAATGGCCACTTTAAGGCCATGGATGGAGTGTTCTGGGAGGTTAAAATGTTCCCACACTAATTTCTGAATGTTGCCATTCCTGAAGTCAGATTTCTGTTCATTTACTCTTTTGCATAGAGACCAGCCTGTCTGTCCAATGCAGAATGCTACATCGATGTACACGCTGCACTGGAAGTTGGGCAGGTCATCGGCAGGCTAGTAAATCAGTCAGCAAGAAACACCACATTACAGGTGCAGAGCTGGACCTCAGATAACTAGTTCCGTGGGCAAGGAGTGTGTTCGATTTTGCAGTGATGCCAAGTTTGCTTGCTTGCTGAACTTTTGTTCTGTGCGATAACAAATAGTTTTAAATCCAATAAAAACAAATGTTTGCACTTACAGTGTTCATGGTGTTTATACTACTTTTAATGTTTGATGGTGTTCATAGAATCATAGAACAGTAGAGTTGGAAGGGGCTAGAAGACCACCAGGTCCAACCCCCTGCTCAGTGCAGGGCTCCTGAGTTAAAGCATTCCTCTGACTGTCCAGCTGCCTCTTAAATGCCTTCCGTGTGGAAGAGCCCACACTGGTAATCGGTTCCGTTGTCTTACTGCTCTAACAGTCAGGAAATATTTCCTCATATCTGGCTGTAACATGCCTGTTATTCTGTGTCCTGCACTCTGCGATAATCAAGAAGAGATCCTGGCCTTCCTCTCTGTCACAGCCTTTCAAGTACTTGTTGGGTGCTATCATGTCTCCCCTCAGTCTTCTCTTCTTGAGGATGAGTATGCCAGCAATTTCAATCTCTCCTCTCAGGACTTTGTTTCCAGTTCCCGGATCATCCTTGTTGCTCTCATCTTAACCCTTTCCAGCTCTCTTCATCTTTTTTAAACTGTGGTGCCCAGAACAAGACAGAGATTCCAGATGAGGCCTAACCAGTGCTGAGTAATGGAGAACTAGCACGTCAAGAAATTTTATTTATTTATTTATTTAAAACATTTCTATGCCGCCCCCATTGCAACAAAGCCTTGGGGCGTCTCACAAAGAATACATAAAAACATGCATAAATATTTGGAAGTGGCACTTCTATTAATGCAAGTTAAAGTAGCATTTGCTCTTTTTGCAGCCACATCACACTGTTGACTCATACTTAGCCTGTGATCTATAACAATTTCAAGACCTGTCTGGCTTGTGGTATTGTTGAGCCAAGCATTTCCTATCTTGCAATGAAGCATTTGGTTTCTTTTTTCTAGATGCAGAACTTAGCATTTGTCCTGACTGACTTTCATTCTGTTGTTTTCCACCCAGCACTCCTACCTATCAAGTTCACCTTGAACCTTCTTTCTGTCTTCCAGGGTATCAGCTATCCCAGGGATCGGCAACCTTTAACACTCAAAGAGCCATTTGGACCCGTTTCCCACACAAAAGAAAACACCAGGAGCTGCAAAACCCTTTTCACATCTAAAATGAAGATAACACTGCATATATCGTTTTTAAAAAAATCTTAATGCTATGTATATCTTCATTATGATTTAGCTGCAGCTCTTGTTCAGTCACTAAAAACTGTCATTTTTAATCTTATGTTATAAACTAGTAGGACTCCTTTCATATATTTTGAATAGGAGAACAGCTTCCTGCAAAGTCAGTGCTAAAGGGCTGCATGCATTAAACAGCAAACCCCATAAGTTTGTCAGCAGTAAAAGCAAATGAATCTACCCACTTTTCTTTGATTTATCCATGGTTGGCGGGGGGGGGGGGGCGAGGCTCAGCAAATCAGTGGGTCTGCAGATGGCTAGATATAGGTGTGTTTAATGACTGATTAGCAGATAAACAGTCAAGTGATGTGAATTGTGACAGGTCCCAAGCACAGCTTTTAACATTCAGGTGAAGGAGATTACATTGGTACAAAGAGAATCTTTTCAGCAGCATTTTGTGTAACATGAGAGCCTGCAGGAAGCTTGTTTAGCAGAGGAATGCAGCTATTTACTTAACTAGCTGATTTACTTAACTAGCTAGCAATGCTTTCCTGAGTGGAGCTTCCAGCAGATCAGTGGCTGTGCCGGCACCTGTTTTGAGCGATGGAGCTGCAGCAGAGGGGTTCAAGAGCCATGTGCGGCTCTGGAACCGCGGGTTGCCAACCCCTGAGCTATCCCGTCCAGTATCTGCAAATCTAATAAGCATTCTCTCCACTTTCTCATCCAAATCATTCATAAAAATGCTGAAGAACAATGGGCCCAGGACTGAACCTGCGGTATCCCACTTGTTACCTCTTCTCAGTTTGAGAAGGTACCATTGATGAACACTCTTTGAGTCAGATTCTGTAGCCAACTGTGGGTCCACCTGATCATTGTTCCTTCTAGCCCATTACTGACTAGTTTGCAAACCAAGAGATTGTGGGGCACTTTGTCGAAAGCTGTGTTGAAGTCAAGATAGATTATGTCCACAGCATTCCCACAGTCCACTAGGGAGTTTACCTAATCAAAAAATGAAATCAGTTTAGTCTGGCAGGATTTGTTCTTGAGAAATCCATGTTGGCTTCTATTAATTCCTACATTGTCTTCAAGGTGTTTGCAGACTGACTGCTTTATAATCTGCTCTAGAATTTTTCCAGGGATTGATGTTAGACTGACTGGTCTGTAGCTGCCAGTTCTTCTTTTTTCCTTTTTTTGAAGACAGGAACAGCATTAGCCCTTCTCCTGTCATCTGGCACTTCACTTGTTCTTTGTGGTTTCTCAAGGATGACAGAGAGTGGTTTTGAGATTTCTTTCACCAGCTCCTTTATGACTCTGGGATGGAGTTTGTTGGGCCCTGGAGAGTTGAACTTATTTAGCCCAATTAGTATGAGTTGGTAAAGGCTTGTCCTGCTAGGTTTTATCTAGAACAAATAACATCACAGGAAATTGGAAAAGAAATTCACTTTAAGGCTAATTGAAAAATAAACTAACTTAAAAGCTAATTGATGGATGCTTATTGTTCCAGGAAGTTCATGCAGTTAATACCCAAGAAACCTGTTGATTTTTATTTTAGGCAGGGGGAGGGTTAAAGGCACATAAGGTGAAAATCTTTCCAAGTTTGGTCAGGGAAAAAATAAAAACAGCTCCCATAGGAATGCTGGAAGTTGTGGGATTTTTCTGCCTAAATCTGCATAGGTTTGTACCTTTAGTGCTTTTTATTTCATGATTTTCATTTTCAGTTTTTTGCCCTAGCACACTGTACAATCATGGTCTGAGCCACAAATCTCCACTTGGCATCCTTTTTATCTTGTGCCCAGAAGAGCACTAAGAAAATGCCTGCCAAGGCTTGTCACCTGGACAGCAGCAGGGACAGGTGCATGTGCAGCTCATCTGGCTTCCACTCTGATGCAATGGATGGTGTTTCTGTTTAAATCAGGAGTGCTGACTCTCTCTCAGCCCAAGGGCCAAATTCAACTCTGGAGAAGCTTTTGGGGCCTGCATTCTTGTGATGGCAATAGTGAAAGCAAAGGGGGTCAGACAAAATGGTTTTTAGTTTTTAGTTTATTTATTTTAGTTTGTAGCTCTTAATACCAGAAACTTAAACCTTTTAGGGAAGCATTTTAAATCTTTTCGAATGGGGAGGGGGGGTTGCAATATCAGGCAGCCTATGGAACAGTTGGTGGCAGACACGGTGGGGGGAATGAGGGCAGTCATAGGAGGAATCTAAGATAGCTGGATGCAGCTCACAAACCTGATATTCAACACTCCTGCTTCGGATACCTTTATGTAAATACCTATCTTCTTTTGCCCTATATTTTATGTGATGCTTAAATAGGTACACTAAATGCTGACACCTTTATGATGAACCAGCTTCATTTAAGCTACCACATTATTACCAATGCTTATGATTTCTCCACAACTTCTGATGTGGCCCCTGCCTCCCTGGGACGAGTTGCAGAACTACAGCTGTGCTCCAAACTAGGGACCATCTCTGCTCAGTAAGCTTCTCTGTGTGTTTATGGAACGGAGGAAGCTAAGGCCATCGCTACCCTCAGGCAGGGCGATGCAGCAGCCTCAGATGGCAGGCACTGGGAGGCGGCGGCAAAGTGTTCATCAAGAGAACCATGTGCTTTGCACCCCTTGTTGTGCCCCTTAAATTAGCCTCCTGCCTTCAAGTCTGTGAAGAACACTGCCCCATCCCTAGAATTGAGGACCGATTGCTCTGTGCTCCAGTCAGTTTTTCTGCATGGGAGAAGGCACCATCTTGCCCACTGCCTCAGGCAGCAAAATGTTTTGGGTTCTTTCTTGGCAAAGCTTCATTATCCAAGTGTGGCCAGTGCCACGTTCTTCTTCTTCTCCCCGCTCCCCCATAACTCAAGCCCTTGCAGGAGGTCAGATTTGAGAACAAAGTTGCAGAGGTGACAATGGCAGACTTTGTTTATACCTGGAGAGGTGGCTCGGCTTAGTTGAGAGAATTAGGAGAAAGCAGCATGTCAGTGGATGATGTTTTCCGTTGTAGTAAGGATACTGCAGCATGTGAAAAGGTTGTTGTTTGCTAAAGGCCAGGATCCACTGAATCTGGGCTATGCTCCATTTTGGAGAAGCTCTTGGGGGGCTGCATTTCAGTCAGGGGTGAGACTAAAAGCAGAAGAATTGTGTTGGCTCAAAGCTTTTTCTGGCAATGACTATGCCTTAGGAGAGCCATTGCCAGCAATTAAAATGGGGAATGCACAAAAGGCTAGAATAATGCAAAAGGACTGGTAGCCAGGAGGAAGGTGGTGGGGCCAGAGGAAGGAGATGTGGCCATCAGGGGAAACCTGGAAGCCAGACTGGACCTGCAAATCTGGGGATCTGCACCCCTGGATTACAATATGGGAATGATTTCCTATCACTTCTTCTCTTCAAGAAATATACTGGAGAGCTGCAGGTTTGGGTCCTACCTGATAGTGTCCCTGCTGATCAAACTGTGTGCATGCTTTCCTTGACAAGAGCATTACATGTGTGTGACTCCAGTGGTATGTTGGATGCTCCTCAGAATTTAACAGTGGCAAAGCTTTTCCCCCTGAAAAGAGCAGGGAAGGCCAATCCAAGTTTTTAATCCTTCAAACAACAAACTCCACCTTTCTTGAATGTTTTTAACTTACAAAATGGAGTTTTAGATCATGTCTCTTGTCCAGCAGACCTCACCCCCCACTCTCTTGGGAGCATGTGTTATGCCTTACATCCTTTTCCAAAACCACCAGCTTATCTTGTACAGTCAATTTCTTATGCAGACCCAAAGGTTTGGGTGTATTGCTCAAGAAGCCTCCACTCTAAAGAGACATACCTAAACACCACAGCTATTTCCTTCCAAATATGACACAGGCAGCTAATGATACCAGATGACCAGGATTGGCCTGGACATGACAGGAATTCATGTCCTGTTCAGTGTCTAACAGAGAGTTCTCATCATGGCCATAACATGTCCAGTAAATAAAATCCAGGGTGCTTTGCAGACTCCCAGTTCTCACCTCCCTGTTGGGATTGTAGTTCCAAGAAAATAACCCCTCCTGTGCGAGAAATCTGCTTCAGGTGGAAAATCTGCTGGATTCCTTCGTTTTCTGGGCTCCAGGTCACTTTGCAGAAGCCCAGAGTCCGAGATGCTGGCCGGTGCGCTCAGGGGCCACTGAGCACTCAGCCAGAATGGAGCCCCATGTGCTGTGCGAGCAGCATCACGGTTGGCGGTTACTGCCCCCTTCTTGCTGTGTGCTGGCAGTCGCAGCAGTGAGTGGGAAGGGAGGTTGGCTGCTGGGACTGGCAGCTGGGGAAGGTTGCTGGTTGTGCAGGGGGATCCTATGAACGTGCACAAATGTCTTCAAGGCTGAGCAATCTTCTTTAAAGAAAGATGAGCACCAGAAGTAATCCAATGCACTGGTGTGGACTGGGTTCTGGAGAGGCTCCGCCCATCCCTATTCCGGACCATTGACCAAGTCTGCTGGGCCAATGCCAGTTGAAGGCCAAAACATCTAGAGGGCAGGCTGGGGAAGGGTAGACGAAGAGTACGTGTGCAGTTTAATGGCCACCTTCCCTCCAAGGAGCACTGCAAATAGTTGCTCTGCATGCCAAGCAGGTGGAGCCATGGCCTCCCTATGGAGCCATGGCCCCCCACGAGTGGCGGTGCTGGTGGGTAAGAGGCTGTATCCTTAAAGTATAGCAAGGTGCCTATCGCTGTCAGTAGGTAGAGAAGGGATGAGTCTAGAAAGAAGCCACTGTAGGAGCTTGGGGTGTGGTGGGTGGGTGCGTGCTTGCATGGGTACACCAGGGTGTGCAAGCACAAGCACAGAATGCACCTCTCTGAATTCCCCCAATCCTTCCTCTCCATGGAGCTTGGCCCACTGAGGGTTGGAGCTTATCCTCACTGTGGTTGTGACCCCTTTGCTTTTCCGGCATAGAAGTGGGTGGCACGTATTAAATTACATAATAAAAAGAACAGGGGTATATGCAGGGATCTTACTGGGATGGACTAACCCCATCAAAGTAACTCAAGCTTCTTCAAGAGCTTTTGCTCTTCCTTTAAAAGCCTTTCCCATTGCAGTTGTTCGCTTCACCCTATAGAACTTAGTAGGAGCCACTGAGAACTGAGCCTCCTTGAATGGTCCAAAATCCCTCCCTGGAGTCCGTCATGCTAGACGAAGCTTCTGATGAGCTCCGCTTTTCCGTCTCCTGCCTTTCAAAAATGTTTCTGACCAAATGTTCAGGTTCCAGCATCTGCACTGTTGCACATCCCAAGTGGACCCTTCGTGCTCCTCCCTCTGCCCCTTATGCTAAACAGGGACAGGTAAGACTTGCCTAAAACAGGGGAGGGAAATTGAGGCCTTCCTGATGTTTAGCCTACAATTCCCATCAGGTTCAGCTATATTTATTCATAAAAGTAAACACCTTCATTCCTACCCATACAGGATATAGGAATGATAGATGATAGCCTACCAGAGAGGGATACAAGGAAGGGGTGTTTTTGAGCCTCTCCTGCCTCTCAGGGCTAGAAGTACAGGTCTGATGTTTCTTGCACAGTCTTTTCCAACCCTGGGATCCCAGATCTTGGGCAACCACCACTGGGGATCCAAGGCTGGGAAAGACTGTGCTGGGACATGGTAAAGGGGCAGAATAAATGCCCTCCAGCATGGAGCCAGGATTTTAGATATGCTGTTTGGACTGCTGCAGAAGGAACACTGCCACATCCACATGGAGCTAACTATTCATTCCTTTCCTTCAGCTCCTTCCTGGAAAATGGTCCAGTCCTCCTCCATGTGGCCCGAATCCCTTCTTGACTTGAAATCTCCATCTCCTACAGTCTGTGAATTTGGTGTGCTTGGCGCAGGTCTCTGTACATGTTATCTAGGGAGGTCAAACCCTTCCATTGCAAAGCAAGCACAGAATAAATATATGACGCACAGGACACACAGACAGTGACAGGAGGTCAAGAGCTCATTGTGTGGAGCTGCTGTGAGAAGTGGTGCAGGGACAGAATGTCTGGAAAGTCCTGGAGGAAATGTTGAAAGCAATGCACCACCCTCACTAGCTTACCAGTGATGGCTTAGAGAGGAGATAGCACAGGACAGCCAGCAAAGGAAGCAAAGAGAGGCAGACTAGGTCAGCCTTTGAAACAACCATTTATTGTGGCGTTCCCAAGCCCAACTTCGGCTTGTTTTATTACAGCTGCTTCTCTGAGAAGTGGCTGGCCTCAGAAAGGATCTTGCCATCTTTGGTCTCGATGGTCTTGATCAGCAGCGGCCTCTTCAGTGAGCTGTGGCTAGTAAACGAGGTCCTGGTGCTCCCATCGTGGGAGGGTGATGGCATCTCCTGTGTTAGGAGCCCAGCTGCATAAGCAATGGATGGGTTTAGAAATCTGGGTCGAGAGATCAGAGAAGGATGGCTTTAAGGCAGAGGCTTCTGATTGGCTGCCCAAAGTGATTAGAGGAAGAGGAGGTGAGAGAATCTGCCCAAGCAAGCAGCAAATATGTACCCAGGAGCAAGCATGCTGGCTGGCCATTTGCACGGAGCAAATGAATGTGCTGAGCATTGGCTCAGGTACAGAAACTTACCCAGATCTGATAGGGGGTGTTTTACACAGAGACTCCTTGATGAAACAAAAGTATTGATTTTCAGTGCTCACAAAAAGGAGGTCTAGAGCAGCCTTCCCCAGCCTGGTGCCTTCCAGATGTGTTGAACATAATTCCCATCATTCTGAGTCACCACTGGGGAGGACTGGTCTAGAGTGTATGCTTTTTTTCATCTGACAGATGGTGCAGGGCAGTGACCCAAGGAGAGAGAGGAAGACTGGATTCAGTCAATGCAATGATGTTGCGAATGGGGCATGTGGGCTGGTGCTGAAGTGTGTTTGATCATGTTGTCTGAAACCAGTCAAGATAATAAACCACGGTGAACAACCCACAGTTCACAACCCAACAACAAGCCAAGGGCTCGCTTTATGGGTTCTTTGTGGTTTAAAAACAAGCAAACTATGGCTTGTTAGCATAGCTGGGTTCAGATGACATGAAAAACAACATTTCAATGGCAACCCATGGTTCAAAAACAATTCACAATCAATCTGTGCCCAACCCTTGAATGTGGGTTATTGTGTTGTCTGAACACTGTCAGGAGGAGAATTGGATTAAACATTTTGCATACTTTAGCATACTTCTGCCAATCATGGAACTTAGCCTTCTTGGACAGTTACTTACAGATAAGAAGAAGCACTAGCAAGAGCAGCTCTGGATTTGTGACAGTACGCAGAGGTGCCAGGACAGACGTGCATCATGGAAATTGTTCTTTGAATATATAATGCCTAAAAGCTACTAATGTACAGTACCGTCAAATGCTAAACACCAATGCATTGCAAGGTTCAAATGCTTTAATGAGTTGCAGGCTGCCAGTCACCAAATACCAAATCAAATGGTACTGAGCATGCAACATATTGTAAAACACAGTGATCTATGATTAGCAAAGGAGATCTCTGAAGAAAATGTGTGGGTTTCAATTTATCTCAGCTCTTGCCTGGACATGCTCAGATGCATGGAAGGGAGAGCCAAGAAAGCGAACCTGCACAGGAAGGACACAGCCACAGTGTCACCAATGTAGAACTGCATGCACCAATCAGAGGAAGAAAAGACTCACCAAGTTTGTCAATAGCACTGAACTGCGAACTGGGAACCTGACCGACCAACCTGAGAAGAGAAAACCATCATGTAGAATTTGTGTGGTGGCAGGGGGAGGTGAGAGACAGAACAATTCAAAGCAGTGGGTCATCCATCTCAGCTGCCGCCTTCACAGTCTCGAGGTGTGCTGCTATGTAAGCTTTGGGCCTCTTCTATTCCCACCCCTCCCTGCTCTATGTTCTAACGATGCTCCATCAGGATAGGTTGCTCAAGTTCCAAAAAGAACAAGGGTTCTGTCCCTTTAAGAGCAGGAAACAAACCTCCATAGTGCACGAAAAGTCACCTTCCCCCTTCCCCCTTCTGTCCCTTTAGGATCTTTGAAGCAACACTCCATAGCTATACTTTTCCACCATCCCCCGGCTCCCTCAAAGCTCTTAAAAGGGGCCGCCCCACTCCTGTTGAAGAAGGGCTGAAACTCCACAGGAGATCACTGGCTTTGAGCTGCAAAGCTCCCAGGTTTGACCCCTGGCATCTGAAGGTCGAGCTGGCAAAACCTCTGTCTGCACTCCTAAAAAGGAGCTTCTGGTCAGTTTAAACAATAATAAGCTAGATTCACCAGGTATTCACTTAGTATGAGGCAGCTTCCTATTATGTTGGTTTTCATGTGCACAGAACCCGCACTGTAGCTGGATGCAGGCAGTTTCAAGAATCCCTTTTCCAGCCGCTGGTGAGTTCTCACCCCTCCAAAGTCCAGCAAAGCACTGTCACACTCAGCTCTTTGCCTTTGCTGTCCCTCCTGCAGTCCAATGTGCAATCGTATAGGGGGGCCTGGCAGAAGTGCCTCCTCACTCCTTGCCCCTCCCAGTTCTTAGATCAAGGGTAAGCAATGTGGGTGCCCTCCAGAGGTTTCCAGCTACAATTCCCATCAGGCTCAGCCAGCATAGCCCATAGTTGGAGAACATGTGTGCTATAATCCCAGACATCAAGAGAACCACCCAGTTGCCTGCCTTTGCCCGAGATGACTAAGCACAGAGCAACTGGCCTCCAACACTCATGGAGTGTTGGGTTGCCAGGCCAACCAGGGTTAGAGCCTTGCTTACCGGTTTTCTTCTCCTTCCAGCAGTTTCCTGTAGGTGGCGATCTCCATGTCTAGGGCCAGCTTGATATGCATCAGCTCTTGGTATTTCCGCACCTTGTCGGCCATGTCACGCTTGGCCTGCCTCAGTGCATCCTCCAGGTCTTGGATGCTGCTCTTGGCGCTCTGCACAGCCTGCTCCCCTTGCTCTTCAGCCAGTGCTACAGCATTCTCCAGGTTGGCTCGCTGGGCAGGAGAGAGGAACTGTGAGCTGGGCATTTTTGACCCCATCATCCAAGTGGGCGGCCACATGGAAAACCCACAGCAGCTAAGAGATGCCAGTTGTGACCTGCATACTCTGCCTTGTTTTGAGCTACAGAGTAGTCCTGGTAAGACCGGGCTGTTCCCTTTCCTTTCCCCAGCTGCCATTTTGGACGGAAAAGAAGAGCCTGGGAAAGTTTTGCGGAAAATGGGGCTTCCCCTGCTCCTCAGTTTTGGGACATGAGTTCTTCACCACCTCCAATTTAGGAAGCTGCCAAATCACCCCTGAGGAGAAGCCAGTGGTTTGGAAAGAGAGGAAGGCCTAGACTGCAGGTTCCACCTTGTAGACTATGAGGAATGGCTGTACTTTTCAAGTTGAGGGCTCCTAGAAGCCCGTCGGTGCAGATGTCTGGAGATGGGGAGAACACAAGGGTTAACTGGGTGAGCTGGTCCTCTATTAATTCTTTCAACAGAACCTGGCAGTGAAGGTTGGGAGTTTGGGAACTATATTCCCTGGTCTCATGAAGTGGGGAGGTCAGTTCTGCCCGAGTTTCTGGCCTTTACCTTTTGGGAATGGATTGTCTGCCACTGGGATGAAGATCAGGTGGGAGATGCCCAGGGGGATGGGAGGCCATTCCCAGGACTGGCTGACAGGAATCACTTGCTCGCCCAAAGGGCATAAAATACAATCTTTGGATGCGGTCCTTTGTCTCATTCTGAGCAAGATTTGGCCGGGGGACTGTCTGCCTGACCTGAGTCTGCTGGACCACTACTTGTGCGAGACCCATTGATACAGTTAGGTAGAAGATTTATTATTTCATTTATTTCTATCCTGCCTTTTTCCTACAAAGGGCTCAAGGCAGCTTACATCATCTCTCCTCCTCCATCTTATCCCCACAACAACAACCCTGTGCAGTAGGTTGGGCTGAGAGTCTGCGACTGGCTCAAAGTCACCCAGTTGGCTCCATGGCCGAGCGGAGACTCGAATCCAGATCCTCTGAGTCCCAGTCCCATGCTCTTAACCACTGCACCACCCTGGCTTGCCATTTTCTTTGCTGGCAGATGTGCTGAAGAGTTTGTGTTCTCCTGGGAGTGGGGTCTTAATCTGTTTTAACATTGTATCTTTGGATATTTTATTGCTCTTTACCTTCCCTTTTCCTCTTGATATAAACTCTTTCCACCAGATTGTGTGGTTATTTCAGGAAAATCAGAGCTAAATCCAGTGCCCAAGCTCAGGCGGATTGTTGAATCAGGGCTGTGGGTTGAGTCCCTGGCAGAAGAGGCTGCCCTGGCTTTCCTTCACATAGTCCTGCAAAATGATCTCTTTCTCTGCATCCTACAGCTGATACTTTAAAAAATGAGGGGATCAGGGACCATCACAATATGAGAGGAGCATGGATGGTTTGAAAGAATGGTCCATCTAGTTCAGCATTCACACACTGGCCCACCAGGTGCCCACAGGATCCCTTAAGCAGGAAACGAATACAACGCCCCCTCCTGCCCAAGTTCCCGTCAACGGACATCTATTGGCATGCTGCCTCTGATACTCAAGGAAGCATATAGCCATCACAACTAGTAGTCATCAATAGCCACCTCCTCTGTGCATTGATCCACGCTCCTGTTAAAGCCATCCAAATTGGGGCCCTCGCACCATCTTGAGGTAGCAAATTCCATAGTGTAGCATGACCTAAGAGGGATTGGATGGGTTAGGAGGAACTGTGGAAGTACACAAAATGGCTCCATTTGGACTGCGTATCGCCAAGGTAGGCAGTTTTTTTCTGTCAAGGGCTGCATTCCCTCATGGGTAACTTGTTCGGGGCTGCATCATAGCAGTGAGCGAGGCTGAAGCCAGTGGTGGGGAGGGCCACAGTCAAAAGTGGGCAGGTCACCACCTTTCTCTTTCTGCCCACCTCTTTTCTCGCTGCTTCAGCCTGCTCAGCAGGGTGCCAGGGAAGAAACCTACTGCTCTGACTTGATTGCAACCAAAAAGCCCATGAAGTTAGCCTGAAGGCTGTAGGTTGTCTACCTCTAGTATAACATTTTCCCCATTATGAGACACTTCCAATTTCCACCAATATTTTGGGGAAGACACTCTTCTCTGCCCGAGGGCAGGCAACTCGCCTGGTTCTTCAAGGCCTCGATCTCCCCATTCACACGCTGGCCATAGCGAGTCAGCTCGGCAATCTGCCCCTTGACACCTTTCAGCTCCTCACAGTGCTTCTGAGTCTGCCTGGCCATGTCATCAAACTGGAAGGTCAAAGGAACAGATCAAGGGGCCTTATTGTCAACAGTGTCACTGGGAAAGGATACACAGCAGTGGTGCGAGATGCAAGCTCCATCACAAACAACAGCCGTTTACAGTGCATCTGATGAAATGGACAGTGTTCCTAGAAACATGCTGGTCTGGATCTGCAGAGCGATGCTGCTCCGGCTGTTGGCCTGGTCCACCTTGCAAGAACGTGGGGGATTTGGATCAGTGCAATCATGCAGCAGGCAAAAATAGAAAGCTTCTCTGTGCTGCCTAGTTTTGCTACAAGAACACAAGTCTTTGTGGGAGCCTCTTGTTGTTCCTGATCTTGTTTCTGCCGCTGCTCCTCATATGCCTTCACTTTGGCCTGCTCCTGACTCTGCCTTTGGTCCTGCCATGCTTTGCTGGTATCTGATTCTTGCCTCTTCCTGGCTTTGGCTTTGCCATTGCCTTCCCCTCTGGCCCTGCTACATCTTGCAAAGTTCTCCATTCACCTTTATTGTCCCGGTCTTGCTGTTCCAGTCGAAGATGCTCCCTGCTTAGCAACTGGAACTGATACCATTCCTTCATAAATTAGCTAGTTTTTGCTGCCCCTCTGGAAAATATTCCAGTTGTTATCATGTCAGACCTGTTAGGGCAGGCCCAGAAGCCATATCTTACCTCTGGAAGCCCTCCAAAATTTTAATTTTAAAATATAGAGCTGTTGCATGAAGGTCCTCAGTCAATTGTGCTTCAAAATAATTTTGAACAGCACTCAGATAGCTGAATATAGAAACATAGAAACAGAGCAAGTCAGAAGGGGTCTCCCATGCCATCTAGTCTGACCCCTGGCTCCAGCTGACTCATGACATGCCTACCATGTGCATAATCAGACTATCCTTGAACACCCTCACCGATGGAGCTTCAACCATCTCCCATGGGAGCCCATTCCATACCCTCGGGGTCCTATCTGTCCCCTGTAAACTAAAAGGCAGTAAAAAGATTTAGAGTTCTTGGAAAACAGTAGCAGATGTTATTAAGAGTACATATTACCATTGCCCTCCATATGGATCTTGTTGGGTAATGTAGTCCATGTGAAACCGCAAGAGATAGTTAATACTTTAATGTTAACAGCTTGAGTAGAAATTGTAAAGAACTGGCAAGATCTTGAAAGATCTTGCTTAGCAGTGTGGTTAAGAAATTGGGATACAGTATACACAGTCAACTTACTAGTTCTACAACTAGTAAGATTCTGTAACTGTATGGAGAAAGTAAATGACATTAGAGGACATTATGAAAGATGAAGTCTTTAAAATATATAGTGTAATAGACATGATCAGAATATATGTACTATATTGACAGAGACTGATATTTTAAAGATTAAACAGTATTAATTTGTTTCAGAAGCAATAAACTTTATAATAAGATCATGCAATAAATCAGGGGCAACCCTCCAGATGTTTTGGCCTACAGCTCCCATCAGCCCCAGCCAGTGTGGCCACGGGGGAGGGATCTTGAGAGCTGTAGGTCAAACCATCTAAAGCAACCTTGCGGTTCCTGGGAAAGCACCCCTGTAAGACTGCAATTCTATACCCATTTACCTGGGAGGAAGGCTTAGGAATATGATAGTCTTTACTTCTGAACAGACATTCATAGGATTATTGTGTTAGAGCACAATCTTACACATGTTTAGACAAAAAGCTCCCACAGCTCTCACCCTGCCCAGTTTGGCTGGGAAACGTTGGAGAGGCAGGACCTGTTTTCTGTCTAAATATGGAAGCACTGTATCATCAGTTAGACATCAGGGCAAAGGGTTGTTTAGCCCAAGTATTCATCCATACGGTTTAAAAACTTTCAAAAGTTTTAACTGTTAAAAACTTTTTAAAAAGACACAATTAAAAATGAGTTTCAAACTTTCCAGAGTCAGTGATACAGATAGTTCACAAGTACGTATTGCACTAAGGTGTGCATACATAGCCATGAATCCCCAAAAGTGAGTCGCACTCTCCTCCCGCACTAGTCTTTCCTTGCCAGGCTCCTTTCCCCTCCTGCTGCCTCCTGTGCCACCCCAGGAGCTGCTGCTGAGGATGGAGGAACACTCTGGAACGGCTTAGGATGGGGCGAGAGAGATGCTGCAGGATGGGGGAATTGCTAGTACTTGGGGAAGCTACCTTATGCAGAGGGAGCCGCCTCACTGCTGGCACAAGATGCCTTTGGATCGGAGCCATGCGCTTCAGCCATGCTCAGGTACACATCACTGCCTGCACATGATGGCCAGGCAAGGCCTGACTGCCAATGACAGGCTCTGGCTGTGCAGCAAGATTCACTTGCCGCTCTCAGACCACTGTGTGAGGATAGCATTGCCCTGAATCTGCACACGTTGGCCCACCCTTTATTAGGGTATTAATGCAGCTTTGTCCAAACAGACATCTATAATTTTCTGCTTCTCAGTGGCCTTGCTAATCCTGTAAATACTTTTCTAAATCCCTCTGAATTGCAGGGTAGCTTTGCTTTAGGTTTGCTTTCCTTTATTTCCAGTACTTAATAGTCCTCTTCATTTGGTCGTGAAAAGACGCTGCTTCTTTTAATCTTGTTCTGCTTGACAGGAGCAGATTAGAATTTTCAGTTTTATATCCCGGAGTCTGGCATTAGAAATGGAGCCAAGATGGGGACTCGCCACCAGTGTTCAAGGAGGCACATAGAGTCCCTGTGTGTGTGTGCTGTACCGTCGCACGCATGGAATACGCTGCCACGAGACAAGTGCAGGGCGATAGAAAAGAACCCCCCTCACCTTGTTCTTGTACCATTGTTCGGCCTCATCCCGGCTTTTGGCAGCCATGACCTGGTATTGCTCCTTCACCTCATCAATGATGTGCTTCATCTCCAGCCCCCGGTTGTTGTCCATCTCCAGAGTGACCATGGTGTTTTGGATCTGAGACTGCAGCTCCCGGATCTCCTAATGGGGGTTGGGAAGGAACCGTCACTAAATTGCAGGTGAGCTTGGGAGGGCAGACCAGCTCTGACTGGATAACAGAGGAGAGCAGGGATCTTTTGACGCCAGGTTTTGGCTGGGTCTTCTTCCCATGCCCTTCCAAGGGGCCACTGAGAGGTGGAAGTGGGGCAACACCATCCTTCCCCACTCCCAGAACTATCTAAAGCAAACACATCCCGTGCTTTCGCTGCACTTGGCCCCTACCTCTTCAAAGAGCTGCTTCAGGTATTTGATTTCATTGCAGACGCTTTCCAGCTTGGACTCAACATCTGCTTTCTGCAAGTAGATGTCATCCAGGTCCTGTCGTAGGAGAGAAGCAGTCAGTAGACCCCAAGCTGGGGTCAGAACTTTTCGAGCAAAGCCTGCTACATTGCTTGTGAGCGCAAACCCACGCATGTTCAGACAGAAAAAAGTCCTCCAGTTCCCAGCCAGCTATGTGGCTGGGGCATGCCGAGAACTGTAGGAGGGTTTTCTGATTTAAAGCTCTTAAATGCAGCAATTAAATCATAAGAAAGAACTTTTACAATTGGGTGGGGAACAGGGTGGATGCCGCACAAAATCAGAGAAGCTGCCAAACTTGGGAAAAGGAGGCGTGGACAGCTAGATTTGAGTCCCAGGCATGATGTTCCACAGTCTTGCAGTAGATTTTGTACATCATACACCATGGAGGCTTTCAGCATGGATACAGTGCTGACAATTCCTCACATTTATTTATTTATTATATTTATATCCTGCCTTTTCCTTTGCAAGGAACTTGAGACAGCTTACAAAATTCTTCCTCAACCTTATCCTTACAACAACAACCCTGTGAGGTAGGTTGGGCTGAGATTCTATGTGTGGCTCAAAGTCACCCAGTGAGCTCCATGCCTGAGCCGGGACTAGAACCTGGGTCTCCTGGGTTCCAGCCCAGCACTCTGAACCAGCATACCACACACTGGCTTTCAAAGCCCAGACTACTCCAGCATGTCCTTCAGAGATTCTCTGTTAATCTGTACAGAGGACCTGAGAGAACGGTGGGGTTGTTACAGAGACAGCCTGTCCGCACAGAGGAAAGACATGCAGAGTTGCTCTGTATCTTGCAGTTCTATCTTAAATCAAGAGGCTGAGTGGGTTAGGGTTTCCTGAATGTGTGCTTGTGAGAATGCAGTAAGCTACAACACGCAAACCACATGCCCTCTGATGTGGTTTGCTCTTCCTGGGGAACATGGACCACTTTGCTTTGTGGTCCATGGAAGAGCAAAGTGCTGCCTTTAATATGAGAAAACAGATGCAGTTTATTTTGGGATGGGAGGAATCAAAGGAAAAGTGCTAGTAGGCCTCACCCACCCCTCACTTAGGGTGGCCTTGCATTCTACCTTACAGAAACCATTACTGTTTTTGATGGGCTTTCCAGTCTGAGTCCAGGCTAAATATAAAGTGGAATAACACCAGGGCTTTGTGGTTTGCCATCAACAGCTATGGCATCCGGTCCTCTCACTTCCTGGCAAATAGATGGGGAAGAAATGGAGGTAGTGACAGATTTTGTTTTCCTGGGCTCCAAGATCACCGCAGATGGGGACTGCAGCCAAGAAATTAAAAGACGCTTGCTCCTGGGGAGGAAAGCTATGGCAAATCTAGACAGCATACTAAAAAGCAGAGACATCACCCTGCCAACAACAGTGCATATAGTCAAGGCTATGGTTTTCCCAGTTGCCATGTATGACTGTGAAAGCTGGACCATAAGGAAGGCTGAGCACCAAAGGATTGAGGCCTTTGAATTGTGGTGCTGGCGGAGACTCCTGCGAGTCCCTTGGATTGCAAGGCGATCAAACCGGTCAGTCCTAGAGGAGATCAACCCAGATAGTGAAGATGAAACTCAAATACTTTGGCCACTTAATGAGAAGGAAGGACTCCCTGGAGAAGAGCCTAATGCTGGGAACAATAGATGGCAAAAGAAGAAGGGGACAGCAGGGGATGAGGTGGCTAGATGGAGTCACTAAAGCAGTCGGTGTGATCTTAAGTGGACTCCGGGAGATGGTGGAGGACAGGAAGGCCTGGAGGAATGTTGTCCATGGGGTCGCAATGGGTTGGACGAGACTTTGCAACTAACAACAACAACAAAACCAGGAATTGAACTTGGGACCTTCTGCCAAAATGTGAGTGCTCCACTATTGAGGTTCCCTGTGAAACAGGGAATAACTCAGATTTCCATGCAACCACTAGTTCTGTTGGATAGGAGAAATATAAGTAGGAGAAGCAAGAGGTTTGAAGATGGAGATGTGAGCAAGGCTGGGGGCAACTTGAACCTCCTCAGTAGAAAGAGGGATGTCTGTTCAACAGACTACCTAAAAGTTTCTGGGGACAGCAAGCAGGAATCCCATGCCGAACCCATTCTTTTAGAGATCAACTCTCTTTTCACCTCTGGAACCCACCTTCTTGGTCACCACAAATTCGTTTTCCAGTTGGTTACGCCGGTTGATTTCATCTTCATACCTACAAGGTCAGAGAGAGGAAATGCTATCTGTGAGGTACAATGGGGAACAGTCTGATCAGAAAATAGGGTAATTTGACCCCATGTCTATGCACCATTTACCCAATCCCCTTCTTTCCAGCCTTCCTGCCTTGCCTTCACCATGTCTGTGGCTTCTGCTTGTTAATCTTTGTTGTGCACATAGCAACAAAGGTGTTGTCCAGAAGGTGGTGCTTGGGGAATATTGTTCAGCCCTGTGGACTCTCCAGCATGGAGTTCCTCAAGGGTCAGTTCTGTCCCCCGTGCTATTTAAAATCTACATGAAACCTCTGAGTGGTGTCATCTGGAGATCTGGAGTGATAATCATCAGTATGCTGATGGCACAGCTCTATCTCTCCTTTCCATGCTGGCAGATGAGGCTGTCAATGTGCTAAACCAGTGCCTGGCTGCGACAATGGACGCAATCAGAGCTAACAAACTGAAGCTCAGTCCAGACAAGACTGAGATGTTGTTGGTGGGTGGTTTCTCTGACCGGATGGAGGGTGTTCAGCCTGTTCTTGGTGGGGTTGCACTCCCCTTGGAGGAGCTGGTTTGTAGCTTGGGGGTGCTTCTGGATCCATCTGTGTAACCTCAGAGAGACTTCTGCCAGGTTTGTGACCTGGCTATGCCCCCATCTGGACAGGGATAGCCTGTTTTCAGTAATCTATGCCCTGGTGATCTCTAAATTAGATTACAGCAGTGCCCTCTGCGTGGGGCTACCCTTGAAGACTATTCAGACTGCAGCTCATGCAGAATGTGGCAGCCACAGAGAGCTTTGGCTTTGGGGAGGTATAGAAATAAAATGAGATGATGATGATGATGATGATGATGATGATGATGATGATGATGATG